GCCTAACATGTAAATTTTATTCAAATATGCAAAGCTGTTCCTTTTTTACCAATTAATTTAGGCAAAGGTGACAAACAACATGGTACTTATGCTGGTGAAAGTGATGATTCTGACAACAAACCCAGTGGGATCTTTGTTTATTTCAGACTATTGCAATTCTGAATATAAAAGGTCTCTTCTATGCCATAATGCTGTTCACCTGGTCTCCTGATGCTGGTCAGTAACAGTGTAACTCGTGTCAGGTCTGCACACAAGTGAATTCCTTGACCATCAACTTTAAACTCCCCACCGACTTCAAAACTCCATCTCACTCATTACTTCAACACTGTGCTGGGTGATTGTAGTAGGAGCTCATATTTATAGATCTGTGCCCTAACACTTCCCAAGCTGACACTTGATTTTTTTCTGAAATTTGTTCCATTCCGCCTCAGCTGCTTCTTGATGGGGAAATGCGTTGACATGATTCAGACACTCCTAGAACATTTCAGCACTAAGGACGACATACAAGGCTGAATGCAATGCTGTAGCAGCGGAGAGGGTCTTCCGGTACAGGTGATTAATTATATTATGAAGTGGTAATAAAACAATGATTTTTATTTAATATCTGGATTAAAAAGCAACCCATTACCATCTACAACCTTCAATCTCTTCTTTTCCCATGAGGATTGTTAAATGAAATAATACAGTAACACTGGGGAGAGATAACTGGATCAAACAATTTTAACAAATACGAGTCCTGGATGCCCTGAAAAATATGTTAAATAAGTTCACTATAAAACTTATATTTTAAATGTTAGTGACGTGTGTAAATAGATGAGATGTCTAATTCTTGTCCTTTGGTCTTTGTGATTGGAGCTCAGTGTAAAGCTGGCTTCGAGGGATGAGTGACATCAAATGTTGAATTCGCAAATCACTGTAGTTAACATCTTCAGGGTGGTATGTACTGGACAGGAATTTCTGGGAGATTTATATAAGACGGCAAGTAAGCAGGCTGTTATCCCACAGTATCCGCTCACTGTTCTACTCGTCCAATCTGTCTTTTTCAAACCTATTCCACGTTGAAGGATGCTGTCTTCTGGGTTGTTGTGCCATGTAGTCTGATAGCAGTTTACAGACGTTTCTGAGGTCCTTACTGCATCCATCATCCATATAACTCTAGTGTTTTCCACTTGCACGGTTTATTCATGGTATGGTTAAGGTATTTAAGTCGACCGAAATGACCCCACAGAATATCATCACCAAATTTGTTGAACACGAGAACCTGTAGCAAGGCTCGAAGAAAAGTGATTCACTTGGCACCTGTCAAAAAGAAAGGTTAAATATAATAGTACGATCACTAAGAAGTGGCAGTGGAAAAACGGTTCCGGAAAATACGTCTCTGTATTGTTGTTACTTAGGAAACTTGACCTGGGGGGTTGGTCAAGTTTTTAAAAGGCAACGAACTCCCCCTGAATGTCTAAACAACATTAACCATTCCATCTCAGTAATGATAATGTATTGTTTGATTTCAAGTACAGGCTGACTTTGTATACATTACATAAACGGTCGCCCGCCACAGTGGTCTAGTGGTCAGAACACTTGCCTTGTAATCCTGGGGTCCCGGGTTCAATTCCCGGTGGTGATCAGATTTATAACTTGTGTTGGGCAAGGCCGTGGTACAGGCATCACGGAGTTTTCTTCCAGGGGCTTCCCCGGTTTCTCCGTGGCATCCCAACACAATTATTCACTCACACACACACACAGAAGAAGGCAATGGCAAACCACTTCTGACCATTGCCAAGAACGAGCAGGGCCCTTACAACCTGAAGAGGATGGAATGATCCTGTTCATAATATATGGACTTGCCGTAAGACAGAACACTAATAATAATAATAAAACTTAAACGGTCATGGGGCCATTTAGAGAATTTATTTAGTGGTAAAAAGGTTGATTAAATGTTGGTTTTAGATGTAACGGAAATTCAAGTTCCATAACAATGAATAAGGATTGCACAATCTTGGAAGCAGTCCAAATTCTATGTCTCTCAGAACCATCTTTTTTTTCTTTTTGTATCCGATAAATACGTATTATATTTAGTAATTAAAACATCAGCGAAGACATAAAACCAGCAGTAGCAACATTCCACTGCAGAAACATCTAATGCAGAATTCGGTAACCAATGAGGCTCTCCATTATTCACAGCCGTGACAGAATGCTAAATGCATGCTCGAATCTCGATCACTGCGTAAGATCACCGTGATTGAGAGTGAGCAAACACGGTCAAACCTGTGTTCACAGAAGAGCAGTTTAACTCATCACTGGTAATAACCGCACTCAAATGTTCTGGGTTGAATAGTTATTATGGTTGCTGGTGGATGGCAGCACAATCTCTGGCAAAAAAAGACTCTACGGATGTGGTATTCTTTATGTTTGGCGCAAAAATACCCATACAGCGTTTTTCGTTTGCGTTAAAGCGTATAAGACCCCCAAAGGAGACGTTTTTAAAGAAAAAAAGAGACGACATTTACACTGCCTCTGAATATTTTGGAATATTAGTCAAAATAATAAACGTAATTACTTTACATTGTGAGGACCATATTGCCCAATGCCTTGTGATGATTTTTATTCTTACAAAATGTGATTACACATAAATTCATTATTTTTACCAAAACTGTTAGAGTATAGGCATTGCTATTAAACATCTGTGTAAACTCTTTTCCATTTGGCCCGTCTTCTTTCGTTTTGAATGGCCTAATGGACAGTTAACCATGGACATTACACTGACTTCCGTGGTTATGACTGGTCTTGTAAAAAAGTTATGTGCATGTTGGCCTTCTTCGAAGTAGCTGTGTCATGCCAGTTGTGTAGATTCAGATCTGTACTACGTAACCAATATCAGTATAATCTAGGATACTAAGAAGAAATTGTGTGTCTGTTATTAGTGTTTCGGTTTATTTCAAGTAAAGCAGTAGTTCGTGCATAATGGTTCATAAAGTTAGAGTTTTTGTAGTAGGCGTTGGTATGACAAAGGTAATTAAAATGCTTCACGTTAAGTGGAACACACTTTAAAAGTTAATTGAAGTCAGGAATACATTGCTGTATTTTTTGTAGCATTTATTAGTGTAATGCTGGATGTTGCGTTTTATATTAGATCTGAAACACACAGAGTAAAATTGGCAAATGTAAAATTCTAGGGTATGAATTACAGGCAGTCTAGCAAGAAATCTAGTTTAGGTGGAGAATAGCTTGTGAATGAAGGTTTTGAAATGCCAGACTCAGCTTCTTTTTGTCAAGTGTCTTGAATGTGGGGTGAAATTTTGTAAACTTTATTGTTTTAATAGAAGAGGATTTATTTCATTTCGTAGATTTTTAATAGCAGAAACCAAGGATGTGGAACACAATATGAATATAGCACTTAGTACAGAAACAGTACTAATAAAATATGCATGTGTAGTTGTTACAGCTATTTGCATAAATATTTACAATATATAAGAATTTTCAGATGAAGTAGATATGTTTAGAGTAGGAGTGAGATAAATAATCCTTCAGTATTGGCTAAAATACTTTTATATCACCAGTTCTCATTCAAAGCCTACTCTGTATGCTTGTTATGTTAATATTATATTTATTGTCCTGAAAGCAACTACTTAAAAAAATTAATTAATAATGTCTTTGCTAGCTTGAACAAGTGGTTTAAAGGCAATAAACCCTCATTAATTTTTAACAAAGACATTTAATAAAATTTGCTAGCAACAGAATGTGTATACATTTAAATATAGGTTATGATAATTCATCAATTAAGGAAATAGGAGTGGCTTTACTTTAAAATTAGTTTACTTTGCTTATTTTTCACTCATCATAATTCATGGAATTATCTTCTGGAGAAATTCGGCAGGCAGCAAAATAGTATTTAACATCCAAAACAAAATAATTACAATAATGATGTGTTGAAAGAACACTCTATTGTAGGGAGATTTAATATACTTCCCCTTGCAGCTAAGTTCTGCTGTCATTCATGGAGAAGTTTCCAACAAATAAAATTAAAACAAGGCATAAACATGACCTCCGTATGTCAAATGGTAACAACACCATTTATCAAAAAGGTTCTTACTCTGCAGGTGTCAAGGTATTTGGTGTCTCTGTTCACCACTGAAGTTTATATCATGGTTGGAATAGATCATTGATTTAATTTCTGTTATAATATGCAGGGCTGTGGAGTCGGTACACAAAACCTCCTACTCCTCAGTTTTTAAATTTCCAACTCCGACTTCTTCATAAAAGTTCAATATGTATTAATAATGATAAACCTACTAAAATGGTAAATGGTACCACAAGAGATTTCATCACCACCACATTAATCATCGGGCTACTTTTGTAGACTTGTAACCTATATTTAAGCATACGTCTAATGGTTATTGCAGAAATCAGTTGATTTGTAGACAGTTTATATTCTTAAGGTACCGGAGCCAGAGTTACAAAGCGTTATTTCCACACCATGGGGCTCAACGCGTCGTTGAATCTCTCTAAGCGTGAGGCCGGTGGTGGCTCGCACGGTATCGAAAGTATTAAAATAGTATTTTCTTAAAATTGTATATCGAGGCTTGAGTCGGTACATTTTTACCGACCCTGACTCCACCTAAAATTGCTTCCGACTCCACAGCCCCGATAATATGTCGTGTTTTTCACACAGTTAGGTGCTTTAGATGTTCTGAAGAGCGAGCAAAGAATACGTTATGGGTCTGTTCATGTCTGTTTTTTAAACAACAGCGCAACAGTGTGCCCAAAGGTGTTTGTTTAAATTACCACCATTGCTTCTGTTTGCCAATTCTCAGAACTGGAAATTTGTAACTTTTAACAAATAATTATGTAAAATGGTAAAGTGTATATGAAAACCATCAATATGAAGTCATTAAAATTACATATTAAAATTGAGATTACTTTTGCAGATGTGTTGGTAGGTCATTTCTATGGATATCTTATATAATACATGTGGCCCAGCTGTTATAAATGTTTTTTTATTCCTGTGGATATTACCTTTAACCTATGTTCAGTTATGGTTATATGCTCTTCTATTAGCATAGATTGGAATTTTTGTTAATCCATTCAAATAATCCATAATCCATGCAAATAATTGTTATGTTGTGTGCGATGATATTGGCATGTCTTGCACACTAGAGCATTGAACTTTTCTGCAGACAATTCAAATTCTGTAGCTGGCACTAATCATTATTATGGCGTATTTATACGCAGGAACCAAATCATATATCACTTTTAACAACGTGCATGTGTCCTTACCGGGGTCCTTCCCAGGGGGTAAAGCATGGCTGGGCTGTGTTGCTGACCACTTACCCCCATCTAGTGCCAAGGTCAAGAATTAGTAGGAGCTATACTATCTCTCCCCCCCTCCCCCAAGGGACCTACGTGGCGTATAGCGGGACAGCTGTACTTTTAGGGAAGTGTTTGTTGGTAATATTTTTCTGTTATGGAATTTTTGATGTTATGGAATAATAGTTATGATGTGAGTACTAATGTAATCATTTTCATGGTACTGCTGTTAAGGGATGTTGGGCCGAATGATTATTGACCCATGAGCTACTATGTTCATGTACTTCTATACAATTTCTATACAATGCAGCAGTTAATATAATATTGATAGATCATATATGAGATCACATTACATTAAATCATATTATATTCGTTATTAAGCAGAAGTACATAATGATTTTAATACCGTTGTTGTATAAAATTATTTAATTATAATTTTTCTATGGTTGTTTCTGAAAACAATGCACAGAAACCAAAGACTGTTCAATCATCCATTGCCTATTGTGTCTTTTAAAGTATTACTGTATATTTTACTATTCTTCTGACAGGCAATTTTCTAGTGTATTTTCTTTTTTCTTTTTTGAGGTTAGAATTTGTTTTTTTTTCAGTTTGAGAAACCTGGCAGAAGAGATGATTTTGATTACCCTCAAATGGCGAAAGAAGCTGTAACAAAGGCCTTGAATGATGCTGGGTTGCAGATATCTGACATCAAACAGGCTTGTGTTGGTTATGTGTATGGTATGTTGAACCTCATATGCTAATATAATTCCCAAACAGGACAACGGTTTGGTAATAACAAATTAATTCTTTGGAAATGAAGTTTAGTGCAAAGCTTTTCATGTCCTAATGCAGTTGTATGAGGCATGTTACACTAGTCAGAAAGAGAATTAGATGCTGGGGTTTTGATTGTAGTGTCAACATTGCTTGAAAGCACAAATTTTCCCTTGATCAACCAAACCTAACCAGTCAGTAGGCCAGTGTGCCCATTTTTATTTCAGGATTCCTTGAGAAGCTGATTGTCGGCCAGCTGGTTAAGAATTTTTGCTCAGTATGTGGAACCTTGCCACGGTGGTCTAGCGGTTAGAACGCTGGCCTTGTAAGCCTGGGGTCTCGGGTTCGATTCCCGGCGGTGCCCGAATTTATAACTTGTGTTGGGCAAGGCCGTGGTCTAGGCAACACGGAGTTTTCCTCCGTGGCATCCCAACAATTACTCCATTCACACACAGAAGAAGGCAATGGCAAACCACTTCTGGATCATCTGCCAAGAACGTATATGAACAGGTCCCAGTCCGAGAAAAGGATGGAAGGATCCTGTTCATATGGACCTGTCGTCAGACAGAACACTAAATAATAATAAGATGAGGTGGTCTAGCGGTTAGAGTGCTGGCCTTGTAATCCTGGGGTCTCGGGTTCGAATTTATAACTTGTGTTGGGCAAGGCTGTGGTCTAGGCAACACGGAGTTTTCCTCCGTGGCATCCCCACAATTACTCCATTCACACACAGAAGAAGGCAATGCCAAACTACTTCTGGATCATCTGCCAAGAACGTATATGAACAGGTCCCAGTCCGAGAAGAGAAAAGGATGGAAGGATCCTGTTCATATGGACCTGTCGTCAGACAGAACACTACAAAAAAATGTGGAACCTGGGACCATTACCATGTTTACAAGAGCCTGCCTCTGGAAGCTATCATGAGCCATTGGAATCTATTCTCCACCCATACACCCTGCTTTGAGATCATTCTTGTCTGTGCCTGGATCTCCTAAGTAGTTCCTCTTCTGGTTAGTTTTTCTGACTGCAATTCTGTCTCCTCTTGTATGCTGTGTCTGTCCATTTCATAATTACTCCAAATCGTTGGCAAAAAGTACAAGTTAAAAAAAGTTCCTCAGTATTTTTTTCCATTTCTCTTCGTTTTAGATGTTATCCTCAGTAAGTAGCTTAAATAGGCATGTGGATTAATTAATAAAATACCTGCTGGAATTTGAACAGTGGATCTTTCATCTCTGACCACAGAGTAAAATTTCCATAGGAGACATGCACCATAATTTTGCCTGACTGTTGATCACTTTACTTAAACACAATGTAATTCTGAATGTATCTGTAATTACCAACAGGGGATCATACTGATAAGATTATACTGTAAGTAGGAGTAATTTGTGTCATACAGTAGGGCCCCGCTTTTCGGCG